TTAGAGAAAAAATTACAAGTTTTAAATAAAGGAGCTAGAAAATAAATGATAAAAATAAAACTACAGCTTAGAGGCATGAAATATATCTCAACAAAAAAAAATAACTAGATTATGAGGAGTACGTTGTGATCTCCAGGCTTTGAATGCAAAATCTTCATTAAATGTATGTCATAAGTAGCATGATGGCCATGATCCATAGTTGCCAGATGGCCATCCAAGCGGGGGGAAGGGGGGTGGCTAAAAATTGGAAGCTCAGTAAGTAATAGCAGATCGTAAAAATTGTATAGGGAGAAGGCTACTTAACATTTCGGACAAAGATAATATAAGTTGAAAAAACCAAATAATAATGAACTTCTCATTAGCACTTTGCGGAAATTGATTGTATTGATCGAGTTGTACTATTGACTCATATCTCAATTTTGCTGGTGGAGGTCGATGAGGAGCTTGCTAGGGGGTTGCATGAGGGTAGTGTGACCCTTCTTGGGGTTGGGGGTGAATCCCCCCAAAAAATAAATTTCTTGTTCTTACAATGCTACAGCGCTAAGGATCCCCTCTAAGATAGAGAACTCAACACTAAGGTGCTATGAACATAGCGTCACAGTATTGTGGACCCGTTATGAGATAGTGAACCAAGTGCCAAAGTGTTGTGGGTCCAGCGTTGCGTCGATGCGGGTCGGTCGAGTTAGTTTCTTTCCTACATTTTTTATATGACTGTTACCTCAAAAGGTGTGCGTACATGAATGGTTGTGAAGATCCTGACAATAGGAGAGAGTAAGATATGTACAATTTTCCTATTTTTCATGAAGGATTTCTTGGCTTGGTGTGGCTGGGCGATTTTTTCGCATTAAATTCTAGTATTCTTTCTCCATTGTTTGTTTTCTTATTTGTTTCATTCTTTGTTTACTCCCAACATATTTCATAGTTGAAGAATTAAGAATTACAACAAGGGTACTTGGATTTCATAAATTTTTTCCAGTTTGAAACTTTTGATCTGAATAGCCTTTGAAAATAAGGTGGAGAAGCTAGCAATTCTATTACCATATATTCTATAATTTCTCTCTCACCAATTGAAGTATATCAAACAACAAGTATTGAGATAGTATAAGTTCTTATGGTTTAAGGTAGTGATGATTTTGTGGTCACCTTGTCATTAATGTGAGATAAAACTTGAAGCAGGTTAGGATAGAAAAAAAAGATAAAAGCCCAAGGAAGGCATCTTGTTAGGGGATTGAAGGTGTAGCAGCATTAAAGAAAAAGGCTTTTTTTTTAAATCAAAAAGGAGGATATAATACCTGCAACACATAAAAACATTAATGTTGTGAGATTGGAGCACATGGATGAACTTGAGCACCTTACCCCGCACTACCCAGCAAAGCTCCTGTTGCGACCTCCTTGTCTCGTTTGTCAAGATCTCATCGTGATTTTCCATGTCATTGAGGGTTTCTTAAGAAGTTAATGGAAGTTAATGGAGCATTGTATTATGTTAATAGTAAGATTTAAATATTAAATATTTAAATAGGATAATTTTGAGTTTAATGTATGTATATCATCTATTGAATTTAATGTATATAAATCCTCTATTTAATGTATGCCATAATCCAATTCGATTAACTACGAGAAAAAAAATTACAAGAATGAAGTTTATGAGTACAATTCGATCTATAGGCTTTGAATGCAAACATCTTCACTAATTGTGTGTCCTGAGATGCAAGATAACCATTATCCATAGTTTCTAGACTGTCATCCAATCAAGGGGTGGCTAAAAATTTGTAGCTTTTTAGCATTGATATCCTCATGGTAAAGGAGTCTTGAACAATATCTTTTTAGGAGTTTATGCTAAACTTTTCGGATGTTAAGAGATCTTATCAAATATGCATTTGAGTTCTAGATTGAGAAAACAATGAATTAGAGTATACTAGCAAAAAAAAAAAAGATTTCGCCTTCCAACCTTTAAGCAGTTAAAATAGATCTGTGGAGAAGATGTTGAAATTTTATGAAGTAGTGGAGTTTGGAGGAGATAGAGATTCCAAGATAAGTAAGACTGTGATTAGACAATTGGATATTAAGAGGAGTTTAGATGCAGTGGGGTCAGTGACCTTTGAGAGATGCTTATGGAGTTTTTAACATAACATAATTAATGCGAATGCCAGAAGCTTCACCAAAAACGGTGAGGATGCCTTTTGAGAGTGAAAATGTTGTCAAAGTGCTAGTTTTCAAACTTTTACCCCTTTGCAAACTATGTCAGCAATTTTATACTAAAAAAGATTGGAAGTAACATCCATGATAATCCAGAACATAGAAGGAGAGAGGGGGCATTCTTGAGTAAGGTTAGAAGAAGTGTTGAAAAAACCTTCCAGGCTCCATTAATGCATATTGAATAGTGTAATTCTACTATGCAAGCTTGGATCCAATCAATGAATAATGGGGGAAAGCCTATTTGTCTCACCCTTAAGAGGAGGAAATCTCTGTTTATAGTGTTAAATGCCTTCGTGATATTAGGGTTGGAGATCCTTGAAGCGGGCAATAACAGGAGAGGTTGAGAGAATGCCATTGGGAGTGAAATCTCTTTGATGAACTCGGTGTTGTTTTTTCTTTTTTGTTTCCAATGCTAAAAAATAATGATCATCCTTCTGTTGGAAGAGCCTTTTGCTTTTGCCCTTTGAATTATCTAAGAAGTCCATGATGAGCAAGTGCCTGCAAGTTTGCCACTAAGATCCTGAGCTTTGGGGCAAAGCTCCAATTTTTGCTCTTGGGAAGTTGCTCAAGGCATTCAAGTTTTTGGCAGAGAATATAAATAGTGTATGAAGAGGACCATGCTAAACTTAGGTTATTGCTATAGTCAGCTTGATTGGTTTGGTGGTTTTTGAAGAGGAACTCTTGGTTAGCCTCTTATGATGGAGAGATTATTACGTGCGGAGACCGGGCACAGAGAACCGTTCGGTTTTGTCTCCGTGAACAATAAAAACGCATTGATTAACAGTTTTACCGTTCACAGAGATAAACCGGACGGTTCTCTATGTCCGGTCTCCGCATGTAATAATTTCTCCTGTGAGGATGTGTAATGAAAGTGGAGTCGTCGGAGAACCTGAGGGCCTGCAGGCCTCCATCCTATAGAAGAAATTAAAAACTCCGTCCTATAGAAGGACATATTAAAGAAAGAAATCAAGCGAAGTAAATAGTAGGATAGTTGGTCCTATTATTTAACCAAATATGCTACAGTCCAACAAAAATAAGATTCTTTAAATCAAAGTAAAAAATTATTGACTTTCAAGTCCCAAAGTTTATTGTTGGAAATGAAATTACTGTCAGATTTTTTAGAATAAAATATGTAAGAGTTGAAGTCTCCAATGACTGCCCAAGAGGGAGCAATTATTTCTCTCATTCATCATGTAAGTTTTTTATGATTTTCTATAATGAAAGAGTAATTAATAAATAAAACTGTGATTTGAAGAAAATTTACTTGGAAATCTACATTTCAACATATAACTTTTCTTATAATAGCTGCTAAAACATATGTATAGAAAAAGGTACATGAATGGTTATTGAATTATCCCTTGGAATATATATATATATATATATATATATATATATATATA